GTCGGGGGGGTGGCTGAGGCAGAGAGGCCCCCACAGAGGGTCTCAGCTGCGGACAGCCACGTTGTGTTGGGGCCTCTGCTGGGTGCCAGGATCTGCTGGGGGCTTTGACTGGCAGGTGGGGGGGGGGGCAGACAGAGGTACTGAGACCTGGGAAGTGGAGTATGGAGCCTGTATCTCAAGAGGCAGTCAGGTGACAGGGGTTCATGAGCGGAGGGAGGTGGGGCCCCCAGTGAACGCTCCAGGCCCCTGCCGCTCACCCGGCTCCGAGCAAATTCCAGCCCCCATTAGCAGAATGAATCACGTAACGACGGCATCCGTCCCCGCGGCGTCCCTTTCTGTGCGGAGCGCTGGCTGTTTCAGACGCATATTCCCAGCACTGAAGCAACCGTTCTGTCATTTAAATTGCTTTCTAATTAGCGTGGAGGCTCCATTTGTTTGTTTGTTTGTTTGTCTGTTTGGTTTGCGGCACTTATGGATGCATTATGCAAATTCCAGAGTCTGTCGGAGTGTCTCCTCCCATGGAATGCGGGCCTGGGATTGACCGCAGTGGCCCGACAGGCTCCGATCAGAGCTGGGCGCCTCCTCCGCCAGCTGCGCCTGCTTTAATGCACCGCAGCCCAGATGTGCCGTTACCATGACGCAGACACAGGTCCTGTGTGGGGCGTTATGGCGTTCCAGGATGGAGCCTCACTGCCGGCAGGAACAGCAGGATCCGTGTGGCCTCCACCTGCAGACACATTTGGCATTTATGCGCCGTGTCGCAGGGCGTTCATCGGGGATGCCGACGGATCACCGCGCCCCCCCACTTCCAGCCTGCACTCTGGCACATTGGCCAATCAGGAAAAGGCACCCCAGATTCCTCGGTTTTAATGCAACTGGATCTCAGATGCGACACCCTGCTGTTCCAGGGACCTGAGCCAGAGTCTTCACCGTGGGGGGCACGGGTGCAGAAGGGTTTTTTTTTTGGTAATTAAAAGAGTCTCCATAATGTGCCTTTGCCATGTAATACGTGATGGGTCGTTTGGAGAGTGCCTCCACCCCCCTAAATAACAGCAAGCACGCTGCCATCTGTGGGGGGGCTTGAGCTCCCTCCCCATCCAAACCCCTAAGGCAGGGGTCCTAAATGAGGCACTGTATCACTTCCCCTACCCTCTATTACCTATCCGATTACCGAGGGCCTCCCCGAAGAGCATCTGTCTCGCAGAGGAGGCTTGCAGAGAGTGTTATATAGGTGCTTTGGCTTACCTTGGGGGGGTCCTAATGTTTTTTTAATGGCCCCCGCTTATTTTTAATTGTCCTCTTGTGTAACCTTTTGCAGAATCCAGGTAGCTACTAACTAGAGGAGTGGGAATTCTTGGATCGCCGCCCCCCGGGGGGTGGCAGGCCAGTGATTGGTCAGGATGGGGGTGAGGGCAATGGCTGCCACGGACACATCATCCTCTCAGTCATCGGAGAGCACCACCTATTTACGTTTAATTATTCTGTAATTAGAACTTAATTCAATTATTTGATAGTTAAAGGTTCTGAGAAACAGGAAGCACCCACGCCCCCCCCCTGCAGGGTGGAGTAGTCCTTGGTGCATGCTGTAAAATCAACACCACCCCCACCCCCCCGGACTGCCATTTCTTGCACACCATAACTCCATTCGGCCGCCTGAAGCCAAAGGGTAGCATTTGCAGATTGCTTCGCCAGATAATGGCGGTTCAGTGCAGAAAGCTCAGACTATGTCATAGACGATGTCATTGCGCGTGGAGTGCCCCCTGCTGGACCAACTGAGGGAATTGTGTTGGGTAGGCAGATTAATTGTAAAGGAGCTGAAGGGAGGCCTCCCAGGTGGGAAGGTCCTCGCTGGACCTTGGTATGCTGCAGAGCTGCTTTCAATGGCATCAGAATGTGAGCGAGGTACCCCCCATCCCCCCACCCCCCTATGCACACGCCCAAGCACTGTACCCTCCAGCTAGCGCCCCTCTGCTGGTGGTCAGGCTTGCAGATAAAAGGCAGTTCTCCTAACCTTATTAGTGACCCAGCCAAACGATCAATCCCGTTGAGCGCGGTATGCCTGGAAGGCCCATTTCTTCCCCGTTGTGCTGAAATGAAACCGACGCGGGCTGCTTGACAGGGTAATTAGTTTTAATGAAATAATACGGCCATTGTAGACAGCAATTAAAACCCGCTTTCATTCCAGTCATTAGAGGAACTTAAGGTTTGCTTTCATTCCACTGTTTTCTAATGATCTGAAGGCAAACCCGTTAAATTGAATACTTAAGCTCGTTAACCCCTTGAGACCACCGGCGTGGCGTTCCCAGCGGCCGGGGGGGATGGGAGGCGTCCAACAACGAGCCGTTCTCATCTCTCAGACCCGCTCGTTCATCATTAGAAGGCGTCGTTTCCCTGCCCGCCGAGGTCGACAGGTGCCCGTGCTGTACCCCCCGGATTCTCGGCCTGAGCCCCCTGCCCCGACCCCCCTCTGCTGATGTACCCCCCTACCCCAGTAGGGCTTTTTAAATCAAAGTCTAGCTCCCTCCTCCATCTCACTGACCTTGCTCCTCCCTGCCATGTTTATTTATTTATTGAAATAAATGACCTGGGCTAAGGTCTCGCTACAGGTGGCCCAGGGAGCGGGGGGGGGGGGGGGGGGCGGAGCTGCTTATCACCCCCTGAATACTGTGTCGGCTTAGGACAGTGGCTAGAGGAGGCACTCTGGGGCTCGGGACTGGCTGTTGGTATGGACGTGGGGGCCCCTGTGCCCCCATCAGCACGGTTACGCCACTGGGGGTGCTGCTAATGGGCTGGAGCAGAATGTTTGGGGCCATTATAGGGAACTTCGACATCACATCCTGACACACAGATAAAGACACACGTAGGCGCATCCACGCACACACACGCTGCCCCTCGTACACAAAGACGACTCCGTTTCTCTCTCCTGAAGAGGGAGTGGTCAATGGCTCCTGGCTAATGCTAATTATCTAATAAAAAAGAGGTATTGGCCATCTAAGGGTCATTACAAGGCAGCAAAGATGGATCTGCTGCAAAATAATAGCCATTGTGACAGGTAATTGGGATGATGAAGCCCATCCTGATAATTATAAACAATTGTATGGCTCATCATTAGCCATAATGGCTGTTCTCCATTCGCGCTGGCCGTGCTGACGGGGGGCGGGGGGGGGGGAGCGTGTTTGTCCTTAACCCCCGAAAAATAAAGGCAGTGCCTGTCTCTCTCCCCTCTCAATGCCATGGGCATTTTCTTTTTTTAAATCCTTCAACATACCAAAGGAAAAGAAAAAAACGAAGACACGCCTGTCATTAAATGCACCGATGCATGCACGCCGTTGTGGTCTGGTGTGGGTTTCAGTTTAATATCCTTCAAGACGGCCCCCCCCCCTCCACACACACACACACCCGCCCCCCGGTCTTCACAGCTCAGTACAGCTTGCTGTGTAGTTGGGGCACAATTATCCCATTTCTTTGGCTGGTGTGAAGTTGTGCATGTTTTATATTGTTATACGTGTGCGCGCTGGGAGTTATTGACTAACTGCCGGCTGCCGCATCATAGCGGATGTGCCCTCGAGGGGATTTTAAATCTCACGCTTAAGCATAGCGGCACGCTCCGAGCAGAGTGCCTCCATCGCTCTCGGTGCGCGTGCGAGAGTGAGAGTCTGAGTGCCTCTGCCTGCCCTGTTTGTTTGTTTCACCCACTACCGGAGTAACACATTCACTCTGCTCTCAACAGGCCNTGTACGCCGTCTGCAGCGGCCTAGCGGCTCCCGGGGCCCCTACGCCCGTCTCACGATGTACGCCGTCTGCAGCGGCCTAGCGGCTCCCGGGGCCCCTACGCCCGTCTCACGGTGTACGCCGTCTGCAGCGGCCTAGCGGCTCCCGGGGCCCCTACGCCCGTCTCACGGTGTACGCCGGGTGCCGGTGCCATGCACCCAAGTCCTCTGGCTATTCCAGCTGATCCCTGTTTGTGAATGATAAACAAGGGCCTCAGCTTTTCTCTGCTCATTATTCTCCACAGACGTTTTATCTCCCGGCCGACGGCCGTCCGTCACGTCAGCTGGAAATTGGCTGGAGTGTTTGCAGTGGTCTGCGCACCCGGGACGTAATCGTTTTATTTGATTCCAGAGTGACTTGAATCTACTCGCCATGCATGGTCGTTGGTCGACATCGCTTGAAGCATGACTATATGGGGGTTTCACTGCAGAATTCAGATATTATTATAATGAGCTGAATTAAGTTGAGTTTCTACTTTTTACATTATATTACATTATATATTGTATCTGTCCAAAGAAAACCTTGTATGTCCTCTTTTTGACGATTGTTACTTTTTACTATAGATGAAATACGGCCTTTATCTTCTGTCAGCTGGTAGCATTTGACATCTAATTGACGTCAGGCGTTTCATGAAGTCATTTATCTGCCTCATTAGAGGAGCTTCATGCCATATATAGTATGATAAGGTGCTGATTATGTCCAAACATTTCGGGCACTTTTCCATTGTACCAAGTCCCATACTTATGGTCCTTCAAGGTGTTGGTGTCCCACTGCTGTAAAAACTGGTACCAGCGCCAAATGACATCACAACGAGAGGTGGGGGATTTCGTGCTGAATTCGAAAAATGGCTGTAGTATATTATCAGGCTAACATTGCATGTTTTGCACACGCAAGTCTCACATTGCAAGGACTGCGATAGTCAACTGGTTTGAGATCAGGATTCTTCACGCCTTCACACTGTACAGACATTATAGTGAAGTGGGTTTAGGTTTCAGTAAAACATTTTTACTTTGATATAGGAAATAAAACTTGCATTGCAATGTAATGATTGCTCCTTTTCAAGATTATCTACTGTATGTTCAAAAATCAGTTTAAAGTTGACCTCTGCTGCTTCTCCATGAGCCCTGCTTTTTAGTTCACTAGACTGGTTTCTGTGAAATTTTAATTATTTTGCACTCCGTGTTTGGTTTATAGATATCCCAATGTTCATTACAACACAATCACATCACTATATTTTTCCGATATTGTGTGGCCTCGGTATATTTAGCAAATCCTTTATTTCTTGTCATGCTGTCGTGATCTTCTTCTGGTTCTTCTCACCAGATCGCAGTTATAACTTGGGTCTCTTCATTTGTCCACATCAATTATTATTACTTTTTTTACTTTGTTTAAAGTTGTGTACTGAGTTTGTAACTTTTTTCAAGACTGCGTTTGTATTAGCTTCAGAGGCAGGCTATCTGCACACCCAATCAACAAAGAAAGCATTTGCACGTCCCACCTCAACGTGTCGAAGTACCATTAAAGTACCCTAACTGGTTTGGTACTTCAGATACTGGAAGTTTTGGTACTGGTACTCAACCAGAACTCAGTGGAAAAGTACCGAAAGAACCATATCAAAGGTACCGGTACCTGGTGCGGTGGAAAAGCCCCCTTCCACTGGCTGTCAATAACCAACCAAGTTCTTAGACTATAGTAAACAGGGAGACGACGTTCAAACTAACCGTGCGCCATGGGAATGGAATGATTAGAAAACCACTTATGTCCACATTTGCTGACAAAAAAGCCCGTTGAAAACATTAAACTGTTCACTGATGACTGTGAAGACAGGTTTCTATTTGTGGTGCTTAGGGGATTCTCATTACGTAGTTGTAGGTTTATTTTGTAATGGAGTTTCTTTAAAAACCATTTTTCACACTCCTGAAATAATGGATTTTTGGAGATACGTGTATTTCATTGGACAGCTATGAAATAACACCCCATTACTACTACTACTACTACTAATACTAATAATAACAGCAATAAGCACTTGCCTTGTGCTCCCCCCCCCCCCCCCCGTCCCTGTGGCTCATACCGGCAGGTATTCAGTAAACCACAAACACATCCTGCTCTGATGTTTGATTCCCTTTTCCTCTGTTCTCTCCATAGCAATTCGGGAAGATCTTAGACGTGGAGATTATTTTTAACGAGCGGGGATCCAAGGTAAGCCAGCCAGACCTGCTCTTCTCATCTGTGCATAACTCTTCCCCGACAGGCAGAGGGTCTCTCCCCCTCACGCGTGTCGTTGGTACGGCCCACATGCCCCGAGCCAGGCAGGGGGGGCGTGTCCCAGACCTGCGACAGATGTCACCCGTATTTAACCCCGCTGCCGTCGATAGAGGGAGGAAGGGATCGACTGAGGGAGGGAGGGGGGAGGAGCTGACGGCTGTCTGCATCAGAGGCGGGGACCAGAGCCTGGAATGGTGGATCCCTGGGAACCCAGTGTTGCCCCCCAGTGAGCCGTGGCTGCAGGGGGCTGGGGTACCATCATACAGGGAGGGCGAGGGTAGGAACGGCGTGACCCAGCTCGTTCACCTCGCCGCAGGGCCCCCTGCACCTCCGCTCAGCTCCCTTTCTCTAACGGACAAGATTAAGCACCAGAGTAGCTGCCGCCTGCTTCCCTCAGCCCCGACAAAGCCATTACCCGCCGTGCTTCCTCGTCGGCCCGCTCGCTATGTAATGAACCTAGCAGACCATTAATAAACAATCTATTTTCTAAGAAGCTTTTGCAATTTGCATTCAATATGTTTGTCTGCTTTGAAAAATGTCGGCCCCCTCGCCGCGTGTGTTAGCTAATTATTTGTGCATGATAAAAATAAATAAATAAATAAAGGGGGCAAAGGCAGTCGCACAAAATGTCAAAAGGATTAATTTTGCCCTCAATTCTGTTTTAAATTTATTTTTTATCTTTTGCTCCCCAAGGACGGCCGGCGTGTTATTTATGCCGGGTGCCAGGCTGCAGACCCCGCACACGCGTACCAGATCATGCCGCTCTCTGCCGCTTACAATCATTATCTCTCCAGGCAATTACGGGCCCCTGCCCGCCCCCCTATATATGCACCAAAAGACTGCCGCTTGTCCAACACTCTTGTTCACTGAGCATATCTAATGGATTGTGCTGGATATGGGGGAGGGGGGGCTCCCGGTCGCCCATAACTCAGCGGTGACAAATCCGGGAGGGGAACCCGAGGAAGGTGGCGATGGCGGAACGGGGCGGCATTTACGGTGAGAGCACCTGCTCACAGGGGTCTCGGCCTGCCGGTAAACACGCTCGCCACGACGCATATCAATTACGCCCATAAGTGGGCAGGGCCCCCCCCCGTCCGTAAGCGGCGCGGCGGAGACGGTGTTTATCTGAGAGTAGCCGAGGGTCGGGTCCCGTCTTTGGGAGGCCGATCGCTTGGGTTTTTAATTCAGTCCATTAAACTTTAATATGTTTTTGTTTTGGTCTCCACAGCGTGTATGTGTAAATATGTTTCTCTGGTAAAATCTCCCATGAGCTCTTTACTTCTTGGAGCAGGTCGCAGGTCACAGGTTGGGGGCTGGCCGCCCCGGCCCCCCCTCTGCCACCCCTCTGCCACCCCTTCGGTCCAGCCTCTCCCTCCCCCTCTCCCTCCAACCATTTCTGCCGATCTGCTACTCGATGAAGATTCCTGTCTCTCATGTTGCTCTGTGTGTCTTCTTCCTCCCTCTTCTTCCTCCCCCCTTCTCTATCTCTCTTCTCTGCCTCGACCACATCTCGCCACCGAGCGCAGGGCTTCGGGTTTGTAACTTTCGAGACGAGTGTGGACGCAGACCGCGCACGGGAGAAACTAAACGGTACAATCGTTGAGGGACGAAAAATAGAGGTGCCTTCTTCCTTTTCCACTTCTTCCCCCATCCTGCCTCCCCCTGCCTATCCTCCCCCAGTGATGCCTGCCCCCCTGCCCCCTTGCTTGTAACAGCCCCGCCCCCCTGAATATGCATGCCCGCCCGCATCTGCATCCTGGCTGCGTGTGAATACAGGAGCTACTGGCATCCGTACATCCGAGGCATCGGAGCAGTGGTCACCATCTCGCCCTGTGCCTGCCATCAGGAAAAGCATGCCTTTCAGTTTGACGTTCATCATCATTTATGTCCTCTGAACTCGTTTGTGTGTGTGTGTGTCTGTGGGTGTCTGTAGATACATGCACCTTCCCAAGTTTCGTTGTTGCATTATGAAATCGTGTTTTGCAAACGTTCTTTTTTATAATTAATAGAGATAAACTAAATCCTGACTATATTCATGTTGTCAGTTAGTCTCCGTCCTGAGGGGTCAAAGTGTCGCTTTAAATTCCAATTGTTTTTGCAAACGGTTAGCAGCACCTCCGTCTTTCTGCCCCAGGTCTGGGAACTGCAGAATTTTTCCTCTCCTTCCCACTTGCGTTGGGCCCATTAAGATAATTCCTGAAATGTATAAGCAGCACCTGGGCAGCCGGGCCGGGCGGCCGTCTCCTTAAGCGAAATGACCTACATCGGCCCTGCGAAAATTAAAGCCATTAGTGCTAATTAGCTGGAAATGAAATACTAAGTGAAATTCTAACATGGCGTGATTAGACAAATGTCCAGGGCTGGTGGGGCCGTGTGCAGCTCCCACGGCGTGCGAGGCAACGACACGCAGATGCCGCTGCGTAGCCACAGGCCGGTACAGATGTGTCCGGCTGCAGCGGAGCTTAACTCCGGTGCCAGTGTCGTCCCAGACTCTCCCCAGCCAGGTCACAGACGACCTCTGTCACGGGGCTGGGTGTCTGCAGAGTGTCGGCCGATAGCGGCGCGCGATGCACTAGGATATATAGACGAAATACAAACAAAAGCCACCACGATCAATAGGAACGGCCCTGACTCATTCATTGTTCTTTTGTTTTGGTTGGGCTTTTTTTGTGTGCGTGTTCATTCGGCGTGCGTGGTCTGCCCCGTCAGACCGAATGCCCATGGCCATCAGCTGGGGATCTTCTCCGCCAGTCTGTTGCTGACGGTCTGATTTCTGTCTTTGAAAACAGGTAAACAATGCGACGGCGAGAGTAATGACCAACAAAAAGGTGGCCAACCCATACACAAATGGTAAGAGCCCTCCCCCCTGCGTCGCCTACGCCATCTCGAAGGGGGGGGAAACAGGAAATGAAACATCTTGGGGCTGGGAAACACTTTACATTTTATATAATAAAATATAAATGAGATGTTTATTGTTTTTAAAGAGGGTCAGCATGGGCTGTGATGTAAGGAGGGTTAAAAGCGTTTGATTGGCTGAAGTGATGGAGAAGGCGGGGCACAGGTAATAAGTGCAGAGAATTAAAAAACATGTGAGGCAGAGGGTATGGGCCACGCTTAACAGCAGCGTGCCCCGCCCCCCTAGTGCCACAACCAACTAGGGGGCGGGGGTGAGTAGGTGTTCTGGAGTAAATGGAAAAAGCCAGTGTTCATTGAGCAGAGGCCCTTCACCGGGGGGCCTGTCTAGGGGTGACGCTCACTCCTCCTTGATGGGAGAAGCCAGGCAGGGAATTAAACAGGCGGACGTTTCACTGCTCGCTGCTCCATCAGCGGGGGAAGAGCCCGGCCGCGCTCCGGCCCCCATCCGTCACTGTCAAGGGCCGGACAGAGCCCCCCTGCCACCGCCGCCCCTGCCCAGAGCCCCCCCCCCCACTTTCCTGCTGGTCTCTTTTCACTGTTTGTGTCTTTCGCCAGAAAGCTACAATCGCGTCCTCAGCAGCTTCCTCTTCAAACAGGAAGGGTAATGAGTTCACCATTAACCCTCATCCCATCTTGCTCTGTCCCCCGCAGGCTGGAAGCTGAACCCGGTGGTGGGGGCCGTCTATGGGCCCGAATTTTATGCAGGTAAACACCTCACTGGGCTTCCCTCACACGCCCCTCACGGCCTCTCCCACAGTCTGCGCGGGTCACAGACAACCCCCCCCCCCCCCGCACCTGACGGGTTGCCTGTTCGTCATAGATACAGACTGAAACGGGGGCCAACAAATGATTATCCAACCCAGAAGTGTTACCTTTCTGAAGTGTAATCTCATACGTGAATTCGACCTGTGTCCACGAGGAAGCGGGGGATGGTCTATGACGTGGAAGTGACTCCGGACGCGGTTGCATAGTTACGCGCAGTGGGGATAGCCCCGATTTCACTGGTTCTCCGCCAGTGTCGATCCACGGATGCTCAGATAAAGGACCTCGGTTGTGACCTTCGACCCCTCATCCCAAGCTCCTCAATCACAAAGTCTAACCTGATCTATGTAGCAGTTTGTCAATGTCTCCCCCTACCAGACTGACAGAAATAATCTGACATCTGATGAAATCGACGCCCGTTTTTATTTCGCAGATAATTCTCGTTTCATCGGAGGTTAAATCTCCCTATCGCCTGCTGTCAGTCACGTTTATGGACTCGGAGAACGTGGTCTGCATGTTTCCACCGGCATGAGCGCATCGTCGGGCGTTTATTCCCAAAAGAGGGCCGGATCCTGTCTTCAGCTTAGGTGCCAGCGAGGCGGAGTCTGTGGGTGTCAGGCGGCTCTTTGAAGAGCGCGGAGGCCTCGGCGGGCCGGAAGTACGGGGGCTTGGCAGGGGCTGGCAGGAGAGCGGCAGCGGACTTCTTTGCAGCTCGTTTAATGAGCAGTGTTGACTTTACCTTCTTCTTCTCCTTCTCTGCCAAGTTTTCCCACCGCGTGCCATTTTTATCACCTGCGAGCCCCTCGCATCTTAATGAGCAGCAAACGGCATTATTTCATTTGCTGGAAGTGCTGAGCACATCTCAGCCACTGTAACGGCTCGGCTTTTTGCTCATTAGACTAAAATCTGTGCGTCCGGCGACAGCTTTACAGCAGCCCCCTAAATAACCGGCCGTGACAGAAAGCAGCCATCTATCATTTTTATTTTACCCCAACCCCACTACTCTCTAGCTCCCACTCCTCCCCCCTCTGCATCCCCCTCCCCCCTGAGTTCCGATGCAGGCGTGCTCCCGGGAAACCCCTCCCACACGCACTGACCGGCGCCCCGCTCGCCTCCCTAGGACTCCACGTCGGATTGGATGAAACGCTGCATGGGGGAGGGGGGGGGGGGCGAGAGGTTGGGTGTTTTATCGGCTGCTAATTTTCCAAGTCGTCTTAACACTGCTGCTGCAGTTTGCCGAGCCTAAACGACGCCATATGTTTGTCCGCGTCCCGGAGGAGGACATGTAGGAAGTGTGAAAATATAAATAAGATATAGATTCCCCCCCCCCCCCTTGCTGAGGGTGGAGTGTCATGCTAAAATCGCCGGTCCCGCTGCTATCCACACCCGATTCCATTAAGTTGCACCCTCGTGAAAACCCCCGCCCCTCACCTTACTCCCCCAATATTTTTTTTAGCCCCTTCCTCAAAAAAAAAAAGAGGCAAGTGGTCCATGGATTTATTCTAGAATAATTATGGCTACATTTAATATACTTTGGGTCGGAATAAAATGGGATGTAAAGGCGATTAATCACTGTTTATCAGCACCGCGTTCTGTGTGGGAGATCAGCGAAATTGGGCCCCATAAATCGTGCGCCGCTGACAGTGCACTCCGTCTCCATTCGTCCTGGTGCTACAGGTTTATTGTCCTCAAATCCCATTCAGGAGAGTGACGGATGAGCCCCGGTGACCGGCCGCTTTTAACCTCTTCCAAGCCGGGCCTCCAACCCCCCAGCCCCCCGCCCCCGACACCATTGCCCAGCCAGACTCCCAGTACAGGAAAGGAACAGCAGCCAGTCAGAGAGGAATTAAGGATGCAGACAGGAGGGCAGCGGCACTGACCCCGAGCGGGAGACTTAATAGTTTAATCGGAGCCTTTTCAGCTGGGCTTTGTGTCGCCGCAGCCGGCGAGTGAGTGAGCATGAAGGACAATGAGGGGGGGGGCTAATGCTGATTGATTGACTGTGCCCCCGGTGAGTGTATACGGGGCCTGGTAGTGTGTAGAACAGAACACAGCAAATCAGATTAAAATGCAAAGCAGCAGCTGGGGTGGGGCGGGGGCCGTGCTGGATGGGGGTGTAAAAATAGTTACGCTTTATAAATATATGCTAAAAAGATTGGCGAGTCCCATGGGGATGACATTTGTTCAACTCTAAGAAGCACTGAAGTTCCTTGGCACACCCTGACCCCCGGGGGGGTCATCGACCAGTGCACAGATCACATTTCAGGGGAAGTTACAGTTTTGTCACTGAGCACCACTGGACCCGGAGGGGCCCCCGCAAGGGGCCGCCTGTGACTAGCCTGCCCATGTGACTGGCGAACTTACCCCACGCTGAACTAGCCAGAGTGATCTCGACCATGAGTCTGAAAAATCGCCGAAACGTGATTATTTTTCCTGAAAAGCGTGGCAAAAATTTAAAAAGACTAATTGCAGTCTTAATGCGTGTAGCTCTGTTAATTGTTGGGGGCTCATTTTAGGTGGATAATTAAACACCCGTCCCTTGATTAGATTAATCTGCCCCTCTGTGTCCTGGTGCCCGGTTTAAGTCCTCGTCCCCAGATGTCCACGTGGCTGACAGAGAGGGCAGCCTGCCGGAAAATCGGGTGGTAATTTGGGGCGAGGGGGCACCCTGCTGTGCCGAGATCATAATTGCTTCTGAGGTGGCGTAAGAGCGATGCCGTGTCGCGTGGGGATGCTGCAGACCCCCTCCCTCCTCCCCCATGCACTTCAGAAATGGTGCCGTTTACGGGGTGGGCCGCAGTTTAACTGAGCCGCCGCTGTCACCTCAGCCCGGCCGGCCCACTTTTATCCGGCTTCTTCGGCTCAGTAAAAATAACCGTCACCCTGTTTTACTGCGGTGAGGAATTTATGTCCCAGGGTGTCGCCTTTCTGGCTTTTACAGGCGTTGGAAAGTGTCTCGCTGTGTTTGATTTATAGGTTATTATTGAATCGGCGTGCCTTTATCGGCCACGCGCTCATTATGAGATTAGACCCATGTGCGAGCCTCCGACAGGGGGCGCCAGAGAGCCTTCAGACAGAGGAGTGCGTCCCAGGCTCTCTCCCCAAACATAGCTGCCTAGTCGCAGGTCGGAGGCGCCGTCTGTGTGCGGCGGCGGCCCTGATGGAGAGCCTGAGTGTTAACGGCTCAGGGCGTTAACCCACGCGTCTGCGCTTAAGAGCGCCACAAATCTGTCTCCTTGTCAGGTTTATTAAGGCCTTGGCTAGGGGGGGTCTCACGCGGCAGGCAGGCAGGTGGGGGGACGACTCTCGCTGGCTTCCGGGGAGACGGGCGGCAAGTTTCACACAGCCATCGAGGTGTGTGTGTGTGTGTCGCTCTTGGCATTTCAGCCAGGGGGAGACAGAGACTCTCCCTTGGCTTTACCTCCTCTTAGAAGGTGGAGGTTCACCACCCCGCTGCCTCAGAAGAGATGGTGAATTTAATCAAGAACGCTCCTTATAAAAGAGTAAAGTAACAAATGAATAAGTGAAGCAGTACGTGCAGCCTGACCCGCCTCGTCGGGTTCCCATGAATAATTGAAGGAATCTTCTCACCCAGTAGGTTCAGAAGAACGTCTAGGAGACACCGTCGGGTTCAAAGCAGAAAAATACCTGGATGCTCCATGGGCATCGTGGGTAATTAAGACCCAGCCGTCTGAGTTGACTCGAGGGTGAACTTGAGATTCCCGGGGCGGTCGTCTCGTTCGGAAGCATTGACCCTGAGCTGTCCGCCGGCAGGGGGTTACGGGGGAGGGGGGCGGCACCAGGAGCCACGATTGGCTGGGAGAGGCGGGGAGGTCCCTGGGTGAGATGAAGGATCACATGGGGCAGAGACTGCTGCTACAACAATGCAGCCCATCTGCTCACCCACCTCCTCGCCAGAACAGTGTCTCTCTCACCGACGGCGGCCTCCCACCTTCCCGTCCGCTCGCACTCGGCCGTGGTGGGACCGCGTCCAAACAGCGCGCCGCCTCTCAAGGTTTCCCGAAAGAAGAAAAAGTTCCCTGGCATAGAACAGCTATCCTCACCCCCCGCCCCCTCGGTCTCTTCCCATGTGTTGCTGAAATGCTCGTTTGCGTGGCGTCCAGTCGGTTGTGGCCCCTCAGCTCTCTGGGTGATCTGTATTCGTTGTTCGCGTGTCGTCCTCTCACATGGCCCTGATGACAGACTGGATGCTGGGGGATCCTCTGGGGGGTGCTGTGTCTGTTCTATGTGTGTGCCCTGTCCTGACTCCCTCCCCCCCCACCCCGCAGTTACCGGCTTCCCGTACCCAGCGGCAGGGGCCACGGTGGCTTACCGAGGAGCCCATTTGAGAGGCCGGGGACGCGCCGTCTACAACACGTTCCGTGCCGCCCCCCCACCTCCGCCCATCCCGGCCTACGGAGCGTGAGTATCCATGTCCTGGGCCCTTGGGATTGCCGGGGGGGGGGGGAGGTAAACACAGTGGTGCCGTTACACTCCATTCTCCATAATTCTGTTGATTCTTTGTCTTGTAACCCCCCCACCCCCCCAAGAAACATTATATTTATTTTTGACACACCCGCATATCAGGGAGCCCCCGCACGCTCAGGCACTGCCATACGGGGGCACTGCTGTGTGACACACCCTCCGTGTAGCCGGAGTCCCCAACATCTGCAGGGGCACTATGCCAACAGGGGCCCGCTTGGGAGCTGGCTGCCCGCAGGTGATATCGACACAGCTGCCCCCCTCCCCCTGACCGGGCTCTAACAGGCCACGCTGGTAATTGGGGGGGGGCTCAGGAAGCCAGTGGGGGGCATCATCATCATCGCATCAGGTATCAGCTATTAAATGAGCAGTGGAGGGTCCTTTTCAGAGCACTGCGCCACGGTCCCAGGGATGGTAGGGGGGTGAGGCGGGGGGGTGGTGGGGGGTTCCGATTAGTCGCCGGCTCCCTCTCAGCAGGGTGATTTATCTGCCACGGTCACGTGACACGCTTGCCGGGCTCCGTGACGGAGCGGAGGCGATCGCCAAACGCACGCCACCTTCTAATAGAGCAGAAAATTGCTCTTTGATTCCGAAATCACCGTATTTTTCTTTCTGATGTGTCATTCTTTATTTTGCCGTGATGGCCGCCCACCCCTGCACCATCATCACATGTATGTACTTGGCCGCTGGGAGCGCATGTGTGGTGCAGCCTGTCCAGTGCTCACCGCCTCCCCTCTTCTGTCCGCAGGGTGGTGTACCAGGACGGGTTTTACGGCGCTGAGATTTACGTAAGTATAGGTCACTTCCTCGTCTTTGTCCCGCAATTCCCTCCCCCCACATGTCTTGCCAGCCCTGCGTCGATTGGGTTCTGCAGCACCGTGCCAGGAACCCCAGCAGCGGAATTGAAACCCCCCATGAGCGCCAGCGCGGTGCCATATCCGTGTGATGTCACACCTTGGCACGCAGGCCCGCCTGAATCTTTTATAAGGCAGAGTCACCGAAGGCCACCGCCCAAAATGAGAGATTTAGGCGAGCACGACCAGCCCTACCTCCCCCTGCCACGCCGCGGTCCACACTACCTCTCCCATTTATACCCCACACCGGGCATCTGTGGGAGAGGGTGTGGCGCCGCCCTGCTGGCTGACCTTGGGGAGCAAATAGCAGCCTGCCCGTAAAAACACACACAGGCACAGCTGCACTAGACCTGTGTCAGTGGCCAGTGCAGGGCCCCCAAAGACTACACACGTGGCTACGCCCAAGACTCACAAAGGCCACACATGCGGCTGTGGCCAAGGCCCGCAAAGACCACACACACGACAACGCCCGCGAAGACCACACACACGACAACGCCCGCGAAGACCACACACACGACAACGCCCGCAAAGACCACACACACGACAACGCCCGCGAAGACCACACACACGATTACGCCCAAGGCCCGCAAAGGCCTCACACATGACTACGCCCAATGCCCGCAAAGACCACACACACGACAACGCCCGCGAAGACCACACACACGATTACGCCCAAGGCCCGCAAAGGCCACACACACGACTACGCCCAAGGCCCGCGAAGACCACACACACGATTACGCCCAAGGCCCGCAAAGGCCACACACACGATTACGCCCAAGGCCCGCAAAGGCCACACACACGACAACGCCCGCGAAGACCACACACACGACAACGCCCGCGAAGACCACACACACGATTACGCCCAAGGCCCGCAAAGGCCTCACACATGACTACGCCCAAGGCCCGCAAAGGCCTCACACATGACTACGCCCAACGCCCGCAAAGGCCACACACACGACTACGCCCAACGCCCGCAAAGGCCACACACACGACTACGCCCAACGCCCGCAAAGACCACACACACGACTACACCCAAGGCCCGCAAAGGCCACACACACGACTACGCCCAACGCCCGCAAAGGCCTCACACACGACTACGCCCAACACCCGCAAAGGCCTCACACACGACTACGCCCAAGGCCCGCAAAGGCCACACACACGACTACGCCCAAGGCCCACAAAGGCCACACACACGACTACGCCCAAGGTCTCCAAAGGCCACACATTGGGCCCCCAAAGGCCATCCATTTGGTTGTGTAATTTTAACAAAACACATTATAGTTTTTTTACTTAATCAGTCCCCTGGTTAATTGTTCAAAGATTAAAATAAGTGATCTTTCATTATTTAAAAATTAATTAATAATTTACTCTGTATTAATAGCTTGATGGGGCAGTTACAGATTTATACGTATTAACATTTAGTAAGTTTTATCATCTCTGCAATTATTCCTAAGAACAATTCATCACAATCTGAAACCACAATTAAACCAATTCTTCAGCTAACATATTCAGTTTTCCTGAATTTGAATTGATTAGAATATTTTTAAATAAAAATGTGACATGATTCATTGTATCTATAGCTTCATCAAGCCTGATTAATTAAGAGCTGAGCTGGACTGAGAAACCGGCATGGGTATTTCTCTGGGGGCGGAGCCAGGAAACAGCGGGGAGTACGGCGCCCCCTGGTGTCCCCTTATGAGACTGCTGGTAGGCAGTGGTTCCGAGTGGCCAGGATCCGGATGGTCCATCCCTCAGCCAGTCAGTTGTTACCCCCCCCAGCGTGTCGCCCCTTGCCATCAGTCCTGGCCCTGGGCCCATCTCCCGCCCCGGCCAGTCCGAGTGCACATTGCGATATCCTGTTGCGCTGCCAAAACGCCACATGCGAATGACTGGCATCCCTTCTCGCCTGCTTTGTCCTCGGCCTTATCCGAGTGCACGGGCCTATTGCCCCATCCTGCCCGATTCCCCTGCGCAGAGCCCTGCCGATTTATCTCCCCTGCTCATGTGATCCACCTCGGCCGTTCCCCGGACACCCCCCCACCCCCCCGCACCTTCGTTAAAGTCGCATTGTTTCCGACAGTCTGTCAGGAGGTATTAGGCGGTCAGTTGACCGCGAGGCGGCTAAACGGTAAAAGCTGCCCCTCCTCACATCAGCGTGTCCAGGACAAAGGCAGATCGCGGGGTCGCGGTGCCGGCCAGAGCTTCCAGGGACCTTGAGCTGAGCTGCTGCCCGCGGGTTCAACACACAGCAGGGATGATCTGTAGGTGTTACTGAATCCAGCTGCAGTCATGTCACTTAACCGCTCGGCTGAACTGTCAGCCGTCGGCCGCACCGCGTCTCACGCGGCCTCTCTCAGGAAGCTCCTCCCCCCACAGGGAGGCACACGGGTGCCGAGGGGGCCGTCTCAGGGCTCTCCGCTCCACGCTGGGGGCTCTCACAGCGGCCGCTAGGCATTCTGCCCCAGCTCCATGCGGCGCATCGATCCAGTGCCTCAAAACAGATGGATGTGTCCCTTCATTACCTGCAGAAGGCCGCGGAGGCACCCACACGGGCCATAAGGGGAGTAACAAATCACGCAGCCGCAACAAAGCAAGAGTCGCTCCCCGTGCTCTTTCTCACTCCTATTGGAGAAGAATGAGTAAACAAACCTCTGCAGCCCCCGGGGTAGGGTACAGCAAGTGCCACCAGCAGTAATGGAGCACGCCGTTGTCACCTCCCGAGGCGAATTCCAAATTTGGGACGGCTTCCACCTCGTCGCACCTTGGGCTCACGTGGGAAGTGCTGCAGCGAATCTGCTGTTGCTCCAGGGTGCCCTCTGCTGGCCATTGTCATCCACTACTCCTCAGTGGCTCCTCCGCCAGTAAAATACAATGTCAGTTTCCCCCACATTAAAATGGCCCCCTGTGCCCGGGTGCCAGGGACCCCTCACTCAATGCTTGCGCATTAATTAAAATCTTGTTAATTGCCAAGGTGTCTCAAGGAAAGGCTTGCTGGGAAGGGGAGGGGGGCTAGTGAATGCAGCCACTCCCCCTCCTCATTTTCAGAACAGTCCCACCTTAGAGGTTTTGCTCTGAGCAAGTCCGCGTGCTAAAAGGAGCGCAATATCAGCAGCGGCCTGCAGGGGCAGCAGTCTCCTGCATGGTGGCACCCCGTGCTCCCATTGTGCATGCTGCACGTTAGTGCCTCTCTGGCACAATGGGCTTTTCACAGCGCCGCTCATTACCAGCCGAGGCTCTTTCTGACGCCACGTGCCAGCAAGGAGAGCTTTGTTTTTATTCCGTTACATTTTCTTCGCATCGTAGCGCGATCGGCCAGCCCTAGCCATCCGGCTGCACGCGGCAGCTCATAATTAGCTAACGCCGCTCCGCCGCTGTACGGGCATGTGGCGCTTTTCGCAGCTTCACCCGTATACGACCTGAGCTGGAGGTGCATGTCAAGGTTTGTTCAGATGTTTGGACCAGGTGGGAGTAGAGAAGAAGTAAAAATACACACGGTTTTGGCTGTGAGAGCCACAGGCTTCTGCTGTGATGAGATACAGCGTTAGGGAGAGTGTTTGGGGGCCGCAGGTAGTGTGGGAGATAAGGACACACACCCGCCTCCATGAGGCCAATTTCTGTCCTGGATGGTGCTCTGCTGCTGCGCGAACCACACATCCATCTTCCAGCTGCTTATCCAGTACAGGTTTCCAGGAGGGCCTGGAGCCTATCCCAGGCCGCACAGGACACAAGGCAGGGGGGCACTCTGGATGGGATGCCAGCCCATCATGACACACACACTCCACACACACACACACACACACACACGCAATCATACATCACAGGCAATTTAGAGATGACAGTATGAGTTACTGTACCATTCGTTAATTAAATATTAAAAGTAACAGTAATAGATCTGTGTGCAGCTATGGGGTAACATAGGTTGTGTCGGGGGGGGGGGCAGCATAGTTGCTGGGGGGGTCTGTGTTTGCCCGATGTGTCTAACGCTCAGTGTCGTCCACAGGGGGGCTATGCGGCGTATAGATATGCCCAGCCGCCGGCCGCAGCCGCAGCAGCTTACAGCGACAGGTAAGAGATCGTCTGGCCACAGCGCCCCCTTCTGGGTGGCCCTGCCGTTGAGAAAAAGTGACAGATTTTCACTCAGGGCAGGAGCAAAAACATGACCCATGTTCTCTGAGGTGAATGAGGGGAAATAAAACAGAGGAGATATGGGCCAGGTACCAGCCAGCTTTCGGCTGTCGATAGGCTGGAGTCCCGAGCGCACGCAGGCCAGCGGCCTGTAGCCCGATCGCCAAAAAGCCATAGTGAGGACAGGTGTCCCCTGGTGCTGCCGACTGGGGAGCTGTCAGTAATTTATCCAGCCCGTGGAGGGCCCTGTCAGCCTGGATCAGGGTGGCCGGTAATCTAATCTGGGAGAGATTGAGCGTGTCACTTGTGATAACGTACGCCCTGCCTGGGCGCCTGAAGACCCCAGATAATGTGAGATTTATCAGAACTGGAGGCAGCTCAAATTATGAGGAGCGGAGATGGGCGGCCGCTGCAATTGGACAGCTGCATTATTCTGTCCCTTTTTTATTCTTTATTTATTTTTTGCTTTTATTTATTTATTTATTTATTTTCTTTTAGTTATTCTGCTAGGGTTCTTCGGGTGGTGGGTAAAAAGGGTAGCTATTGAATAAATGTGTAAGAGAAAAGAGGGGGGGATGAGTGGAAGGGAGGGGAGAGGAGAGGGGGAGGGCAAGAAGAGTGAGCTGGTGGGTGAAACGACAGGAGTGACCTGCAGTCCACTGCCAAGCATGGGTCTAAAATTCGGTCTCCTCAAAACTCACAGCCGGTGAACCTGCCCGACCCTTAGGGGGCAGGGGGGGTGGGTCTGGGAGCCACCAAAGAGACTAATCGTCGATGTGACCACCCCCCCCCAGAGAAACCCCCGGCCCTCCTTTCCAATTTCACGCACCAGACCTGACCTTTGATATTTTAATCCCTGATGACAAAACAAGGCTAAGTTTGATATTATGGCCATGTGTAATAACCATGCCTGGGCCTACTTTTGAAAAATAATTCCACCCTTGGCACCCCACCCCCACACTCCTCCCTGTTCCTCCTCTTTCCCCCCCGTTGATTTGGTGCCCTCGCTCCTTGGCTGGGAGACTCTTATCTGCTCCCCACAGACCCTCATTTGCAAGCATGTGTTTGGAGAAAGAGAGTAAATAAATGAATAAGGCAAGTCTGGTAAATAAATATATAAGGCGGCGTGTCCCCCGCAGAAGGAAATTGGGGGGATTAGTTCCGAACCAACGACAATGAAAAGGCTGAGAGTTAACCTAAGGCACAGCGGGGGTGAACAAGAGGCGAGTAGGGGTGGGGGGGGGCGTGGACCATGGGGAGGCCCCACACAGCGGCATCACCCAGCTCTAACCCCCCAGCGCACACACACACACACACACACACACACACCCGCAGTACGAGGTGCTCCACCTCCACCACATCCCACTGCAATATAAACACCTCCAAGTGTAAGGGTGTGTGTGTGTGTGCGTGTGTGTGTGTAACACCAGACAAACTCAGACTAACCTTGAAAAAGTCAGCTGGAAACTTTGACACAGTGACATCTTCTCCAGGAAGAAAACAGCAGCACATACACAAAAGCAGCAGAGCGAAAATCGATACGGTGTTATGGACCCCGGACCTAACGCTGACGCAGAGCTGGGGGGTGTGGGCGGAGGGGCCGCCACTCGCCCTGATGCCTGTGTCCCGCTCTCTCTCCCATAGCTACGGCAGAGTCTATGCAACGGCAGACCCGTACCACCATACGATCGGACCAGCCGCCACATACAGCGTGGGCACCATGGTGAGTTTATGCATCCCCCCCATCCTCTGGAAATCCCAAAATTAACCAGCACCCCCTTTTCATGCAATGGGCCCCGGCATGCCGGGATCCTCCATGGGGTGTCGTTTAGTGCCACCTGCTGGACGCAGGGAGGATATACTGATGAGTGTGAGTTAGCAGGGAGCTGGAACACTCTGCATGCACTCACAGTTACAGGGTATTTATTACCGAGAATTCATTTCTGTTATCGCCTGTTAGCTCATTTCCAGCAGCACTATGCAGGCCTTAATTTTAGCTGTCAGAGGAATCATTGCCATACACCGGGAAATGTCTCAGAATGTTCCGGAACTTTGTCGGGTGACCGCTAGCCGCGGCGTGCCGACGTGAGACCTTTGAGTCCAAGCTGTGACCACTTCCGTAATTGCGAGGGGGGGTCCCATGGCTCCCGTTTCCCCGTGTGAGTTTGGATGGGCCAAATGTCTCACGTCGCTTTTTTTTTATCCCCACCCCTAAACCCCAATCCCCCCCTCACCCTACCCCCCCACCCCCCATTTGCAATCGATTTCAAATTTTACAGGGATGCAGTCGAGTGTTAATGTTTGTTTTTAGCTAGCTTTTGCAGCTAACATCAAAGATGAAAAAAACCCTCAAAGAAAATTTAGGACACCCCAAAAATACGGAAAACCCCTACGGTCCATTTTACTTTGTGACTGTGGGTAGGGATTCCAGCACTTTTCCGGAAAGATTAACAGCCATCAAGTGCGTTCCGCAGCGTGCCGTGGGAGAGTACAGAAAGAGAGATAAAAAAGAAACAGAAAAGGAGGAGAGAGACTGCATCGTATCCACCTCCCCTGCCCACGAGGTTTATCGGACGAGCGCTCTGCTTTAGACAAATGACTCGAATTTACCAAGCCGACATGCGTGTGATTTTTAAAACCGTACAATTCCCCGGTGCAGCTGCTAGCTAAAAGCTTTCATTAATTAAGACATTTTTTTCCTCTTCATTTACTTAATTAAAACTGTGGCTTGTGTTGCTGAAGTTTTTTTTCTGTATACTTTTTCTTTTTTTTTCAAAATTTCTTCCCTTTCTTCCCACTGCAGTTTCCTCGTCACCCCATTCCCTTAGATGGGCCCAACCTGTCCCCTCTCCTACACTCTTTAAATTTGGGGTTGGGGGGATAGGATGGCGGTGGGGGGGGGGTCAGGAAGGTGTTTTGGTAGTGCATAAACAGCTTAAAGGTGCACGGTGAAGCTGAACTGTTTGGCTGACAAACCCGGCAACGCTTCAGCTTCAATTATTTAATCATATTTGATTAGCACCTCCTGAGGAACGAGGCAGACTTCCGCCTTAAAAGCCATTCAGTAATGAGTTCCTCAGAGGTTGCACAAAACTCCTCTCGCAGATCTCCAACGTGCTAAAATTGCAAATTTATGCTACGTTTATGGAAAGTTTTGCATAAGGGAGAGCCCACCCGCCCCCCCCCACCATTTCAAAAAAGGAGCGGGGTTTAGTCTTTGAAGATCTGGGGGTTTAGCCCTTTAAGGCAGGCGAAACAGTGGTGCAGCTTAGTAGAGCATGATGTACACTTGTTCACTGTGGGTAACCAAAGCCAGGCAGAGATAGAGCCCTCTCCCCTTTGGTGCCGCCCGGAGTCGGATGCTCAAGCCTAAGCGCTGATGCAAAAATGAGCATCTGTACGCTTAATAAGAATCACACTATGGAGTGCAGTGCAGAAGCTAATATATCTCTCCCTCAATTGCTGGATTGAATGGATCCATTTGGTTGACGTCGCCTGCAGACTGAAAGTCAGGTTTGTCACTACCAAACAGGCCTGACCCCCCCCCCCCCCCCCCCCAAAAAATACACATCGCTAGATATTTGTCCTGCCACGAGCGGTTCGTGGCACAGACCATTTCCTCAGTCCGGCCCTCTCTCAGAGCCCTAGGCACAAAAAGGGAAGAAATTTTTGGAAAAAAAAATAACCAACAAACAAGCTGCTTCTATACTGATTGGAACTTTTTTTTCATCTTTGATGTTACAGGCTAGCCTATACAGAGGAGGGTACAGTCGCTTCACTCCCTACTAAAGAGAGGGAAACATTGCCCCCAACAAACAAACAAACAAACAAACAAACAAACACCTACTTCTTCGTGGAAAACTAAATCAATCACAAAGCTTCCAGGTCACAGTGCTGGCCCCTCTCCTATTCATCTCAAGATGATGTTACATTTGAAGAGTATCCTAACTGTCTCACTGTGTCATTATTTTATAGAATGTTACAATTTTATTTTTTGCTTTCTGTTGTAATGTACCCATCTGTATATAATGTGTATCCTGGGGTGTGTTTCTGTGCTGAAAGTGGGGAAATCTGTGCTGGGGGGGGCTTGGGAGGTGGGGCTGTGTCAGAAGGGCATTATTTTGTACTGTAATAGTAATGGTAGGAGGGCAACCTTATTAATGCATTTAAGCAGAGCACACACAGATATATCAAAAATTTTGTCAGTCAACAGGTTTTAAAATTTAAACCAAAGTGTGTTCGGGTGGGCAAAAATTGGGTAGTACTTGGGAGGGGGATGGCTGTTAGAGGAGATGAGCCCTAACATCAGTCATTGTACTTCATTGTGGAGCTTCTGGGAGGCCACACTAACCCGACCCATTCACATTCACTCTCAGCCTCGCCCTCTGCTGGCTGAATGTGGTCAGTGCAAGTCATAGTGGCCACCTACCTGGTGCTTGGACCCTCTGAGCATGCTCGTTGAGAAAGCACCCATGTCACAGGATCAAGTGTTCCGGGGTGGGAGGGGTCAGGGGAGGGGCTATAAGTGGTTGTGTGGCTCATTGGTCCTGGGCATGCGCTTAGAGGACATACTTTAGTTTGGAAAGACTTGGCAGCATATCGCATTAGAACACAGGTGCTATTGCTCTCTGGTGACAGGCTGTGTGAGGTTCTAGTGAAACCAGTGATCTGCTGGCCTAATGCGATTGTACTGGCCACCCGGGGAAAGGATGTATCCCATTACCACCTGCTGGCTTTAAGAGATTCATACCCTGCTCTGAGTCTCCCCGAGAAACAGGAGTCACCGCTCATATTTATGCTCCTGCAGCCAACGTCTGCAAGACGATGAGATGCTTTCGTTGAGTCAGTCTACCTGCATTTAGCGGGTTAAGATGTTAGTAATGACCAGTCCTCTACATTATCTCCATGATTCACCGAAAAGGCGGAAGGAATCTCCTGAATGTTATTACCTTAGGGTGGAAAGGAGCAGCCTTTGATACGGCAATAACCATGAGAGAGATATGGGGCTTCCACAGGAGAGCTGCAGGGGCGAGGGGCTGCCGAGCCACCGTCACTGCGATCGATCTTTATCAGGCCGCATCCATCAGAGCGCCCTCTCTGGCGGGAGGGACCCCCTCCATCCCCCATAAAATCTGATGACAGTGTGGAAAAACAAGTGACGGAAAACCCAGATGCTCCCAGCCCTCTTCGCTTTTGGTGCTTAACGCCTTAAAGAGCTTTTCCTGATCATCTACAGCAACCCCCCCCCCAAACACACACACACACACACACACACACAACATGCCCCACCAGCCGTGCCAACAGCCTCCATAGTGTGATTCTTACCATCGCAAACACTTTGATAGGCACCCCTTCCCGGTAGGGGCGTAAAACAGGCCCCCCCTCGATTCCGGGGGGTTAAGGGGGTGGAAGAAAAGCAGCCTGGGAGGCAATTTCCTTGACAGATCAAAGATAAAAATGTTCAGTCAATAAGCGCTGATTTCATTTGAAGATAGAGCAGACATGCGACATGGAGGCAACCGCTCAACGCTGCCTGCGCCAGACCCAACATCCACCCGGCGCGCTTCCAGTGACACACTGCTGCTATGGGGGGCCCCATAATGTTATTTTGTCCTCTTTCTTGTCCCGTTTGGGCGAGATTTAAGATGAGATATTGAACTTGTGCTGTCTGGTTGACAGCCAGGTGGCAGGGGGGGCACTCAGGAGGGCCCCGATCTGCTTCCTCCTCTGGGCCTTGGCTGTCCTCTGGAGCACGCCCCTTACAGTTTCCTCCGCCCCTCGACTCGCCCGGGACGCCTTACCTCCCCAGCTCTGCTGCATTCACTTGGCACTGCGGGATTCCGAGACGCTATGGAGACGCACGCATCCTTTCTGTGATGTATGGCCGCATTTTCAGCACGAGACGCACACACACATACCCCCACACACACAGAATCACCGGGGAGGGGGCGCACACACACTCACGCTCATTCTGGAATCCGAGCAGAGAAATGCAATTTTCTGGGACTGGGGGCGCTTCCATTGGGAAGCTCCAGGGGGGAATTCCGGAATATTTATGCCCCCCCAGCCCCATTCTCATTGCCCCCAGCCCTCCCCAATCACGTCTGTATTCTCCAAGGCAAATTCAGTCATAGTGCTCCATCGTGTTAGAGCCCGGCCGCAGTGGCAGTGAGCAGTGAGCAGTGTGCAGTGTGCTATCACAGACATCGCAGTGAAACGGCCTCGGTAGTGGCTGATCATATGATCACACCGTCCTCAGTGAGCTCCCTCGTCTGCCAGCATACAACTCTTAGCTTACCACTCGGTTACTCACCGATTTGCAGTGGAGATAAACACTGGCAGCTTTCACACTTTACATGTCCATAACTAAGTCGAAATTTTAGAGCTTTTCCTTTTTTCAGTCTATTGGAATAGACTCTTTCTCATTTTTAATTCCGTGATCTGATCCCAGCTTAGTCGATGACCAAATCAGAGCTTTTTCTACAGCAGGGCAAAGGGCAGCATTTGAGAAAAATTCACGGCCTGTAAAAACCAGCCGCTAAGTGGCAGTGGAGTACAGGTCCCAGGTCAGTGTGGACGTGTCCGACCAGCCCGTGTAAATAGCCCCTATACTCATATCCCCTTTACTGCTTTCATTTTGGCATTTTCATGTTCGCTTTTCGATTTAGTTCCATTTTTATAAGGTGTTACATTTATAGGACGTAACATGACATACCAGTATGTGTATTATAGTATAAGGTGTTTAAAAATAAAGATAGTATTTATTAGCTTATTAAATGATTATAGCATTATCATTAGATTTAAAAAATGTAGTACAAAAGTCTAGGTTAAAAAATGTTCCTCCTTTTATATATTAATATTAGGGTTACATCATGGATACATTTTTATATTATTAAGAAAAAAGGCTTTAAATCACACTGTTTATACCTTTTTTGAAGAGGAGAAATTGGTGGCATCTTTGTATGTGTTTCTGATCTAATAATTATGTGAAATGTGTTGTTGAGCTATATTATTGTATGTATACACTGTGTCTAAATAACCAATAGGAATTAAAGCTGCTCTCTGACCATAAAGGAGTTTAAATCATTGTTCCATTTAAGGTGACGCACACCTTTTTAAATGACTGCTCCTGTGTCCTCTTCACAACCGCAGCAAAACATGGTTGGAATCGCAGCGGACGGGTGCCTTTTTTCCCCCAGTGATTTGCAGGCGTGATCTCATTCTAAATTAGAGAGGGGGGCAGCTCTGTTAGTCCAAAAGGACGAAAGGTGGGGGCCGAGCCACGCACAGGTGCCGTATGGGAAGCTCCGGCCCTTTAACGCGCCTCAGCCTGTTCTCCCGCACCCCAGCACTCACCCATATGCTCTTTGTCCTACACGCTCTTGGCAAATAAATTCATCTTCAGTCCAGCGTTTTTTTTGCCTTCGTCGCTTAAGACGAGTAATCGGCATCACCACTCTTTCCTTCCGTTTCCTACTTTTTATCTTTGCAGCAGGGAAACTACTAACGAGCCTTTTCCAGCCAAATAAATCCCACGTCACAGACAGAAATTGAACGGAGTCTAAGAAAGGTTGGAAGCGGCGGATGTCTAAATGAATCTTGAAGCTTGCCAGGCAACGTAAAGAAGCGCACCCCCCCCGTCAAGCACGGATGCGTCCGTGAGCCATTAAATGATTGCCAGTTTAATTGGCTCTGTTAACGCCATCATTTGTGAGATGGCCCCATGGGCCGGGCTCCAGGACAAAATGGCGGCAGGCTCTCTCTCCGCCGTTCCTCGCGCCGTGACCTCAGCCATGTTGCCTTTCTTCGGGCTTTCGGACCGTATGGATTTCTGCGTTTTTTCTTTAAACAGAGGTACCGCCTGGCTGATGGGTAAATAGGCTCCCCAGCTGAGTTTTAAGGGAGCTGCACACCTTGTTTTTGGCTTGGGGGGCGGCTGCACCATAGAATCTCTCTTAAAAAGTTTTAAAGCTGCAGTTGTGAAATCTTTGACAAAGGTCCCCACGTCAGGTTGCAGGTGGGCGAGATGCGTCTCACACCAGCAAATGACAGTCACGCCTCGGCGTTGCCATGCCGATAAAGGCCCCACACTGACCCGCACTGGGCTTTATACACGGGAACAGAACAGAAGGCTCTTCCTCCGGCGCCTGAAGGACACTCTCAAGTTAGCTGTCCCACCTCAGGTGTCAACAGACTCGGGTGACGGCGTGCTGCCCTTGATGCCAGAGAACACGACAAGACAGACAGTCCATCAGGCTTGCCGCCGTCCGGCAAGATGAGGTTCTGTAATGAAGTCTTGTCCTGTCCTGTCCTGTCCTGTCCTGGGCCATCAGATTTGATTATGGCGATGTTCCCCAGTCGTGTGGCGCGGGAGAAGAAATCGAGAGCTGAGTCGTGGGCCTCCTGCCACCATGTGGTTTGTGTTCTTAACCCGCTGGCAGTGATACACACACAAACGGGCGTGCGCATAGGAGCGCACACACACACACACACACACACACACACCAAAGCACAGGCTCTGTGAAGCCAGTGTCCTCAAAATATCATCGCAAGCGAGAATCAGAACACGGCCTTGGAATCTTTCAGCTTATAATGCAGGAATTAAAACAAAAAGAACCTTTTTTTTTTAATTAACTTGACGCACACCTTGCATGTAGGTTATTCATTTTATGACTTTAATGCCGCTCTTCTTTGAAAATTAGCTCCTTTTTTCTCTTTTGAGGACATGCAGTCATTTAAAATGGTCCTGTTACTCCACCATCCCGTTTTCTTTTTTGATATTCTGTCATATTTTGTCAAGGGATTTGTACAAAAACAAAAAGCAAGCAAAAATTATTCCCTGTCCATGTACGTATGTATGAACACATCCTGCAAACTTTTATATCTATATTTCTTCATCCCTCTAAAGGTCCTAATGTGTATTTGGTATACTGCTGAAAAAAACGTTCAATGTATAGTGTGTAATGTATTTTCATTTCCTGTTTATCTGATATGTTTAAAAGAGGAACATCTAGATATATTTATATTAATTTGTCTGTTATCTAGCTTCACGGAGAGTTTTTGATTTTCC